CTTCGCGGCGAGACGAAAATGAGAAAACGAAAAAAAAATACAGGAAACATTGTTGTTCGTGGAAACCGATAATAAACAAGAATATTTATATTTCCAGAAACCGTCGGTCTCTGTTGCTTTACTTCTCTCACTCGACGCAAAAGGACAAGACGCGCGTGATGTTTCCTTGACACGTTGATTGTCACGGCGGTCATCGATGATCGGAGCTTTCAACTTGCTCGAGAACAATTGCAATAAGAAACTTGATTTGAAATCGAAATGTTTAGTAAGATTAGCTAGATCATAGCGTAGTACGACTACTGGAATACTAAATCATTGATCATCACTTTCAACGTCATTTGCCTTTGTTATTAACACATTATGTATCGGCTAATTTTCAGAAAATTAACTTATATCGTTATATGTATAGGGAAACTCAAATGGATAATTAGCTCGAATCAAATGTAATATTTTTTCAAACACTGCGGTGATCAGCGAAGTTGCATAGCTAAGTCTCTTCGTATAAAACGAGATTTCTCGTTGCCAGTGTGCAATGTGTTAAGCGTTACTGTTCAAAACGCTGGAAATTCTCGTGGCAGTCAACGTGTCAACGGTTCGAGTCCCGCGCGCCCTTCAGATCTCATGTCGAGAAGACCCAGCGCGTTTGAGCTATCGTTTCAAACGGACAACTGACGGCGCACTCGCGATCCGACGAGACTTCTCAGACGCATGTACGTCGCGTCGCTGCTTGTTTTGTATATAAATAATCCGAGTAATACATTTTGTGTTTCGTTGTTACCTATTATAAATTAATATATATATATATATATAAAATAGTATTAACATAGATTAAGGTGAGCGCTGTCGCGCTGCTCGGCTTTTCTCGACATGAAATAAAAGGAGCGCCATCGCGCCGCTTGGATCTTTCCGCATCCCATTCAGAAGGCGCCATTGCGCTGTTCGGCTACTTTCGACCGTGTTTCTCTTAAAAACCTCTGGTACTCGAACGGTTGATTAACCCTTTGACGGATGTCGGCATTTCGGTGAGATGAAATATTCAGAAGGCGTCGACGAATGATCTAATTAATCGAACAGCAAGAGATCATAGTTTTCTATTCTTCTATTAATTAACACGTTAAGCGCCATGTCAGTCACCGATGACGTTCCCGAATTACTTGAAAACAATCGTAACATGCAATATGACCGATGTCGAATGAAAATGGTTAATAACGTAACTAAGTTGATAATAGTATAATGCAAGGATTGTAACGCCAAATAATTAATTATTCCTGCTTTCTTTTGCTACGAAAGAATAACTCTGCGGAAAAACGGTCAAGATTTTCGTGGCGCTTAACGTGTTAATTGATATATAATTTAGCTTCATACGTTGAAGGTTTCGTATGTGAGAATCTTCGTCCGTAAAGGGTTAATAAGCGCAACATTCAGAGAAGTCCGTATTTCGCGGACACCCGTGCGCGAGACTATCGGCGGCATTTCCAGCGTTACAGAGGAATCCGTTGCGTAAGGGCCCAAGAATGGGAGATAAGGAAAACGGGGGATTCCCCGCGGAAATTGCGGTGTGAATGAAACCAGACTGCGTTAACGTTCTGGACGCATATAGATGCTCCGCATCTGTATTTTTCATTTTATAACAATTAAATTACATAGGCACTTGTACGTAAGGCAATTGTTTCTCGTCCGAGCATACGGTGCACGTTCATACGACGAACTAGAGTTGTAATAGCACCATAATCTGGTCGTGTACGCGCATGAGAGGACTACCCTAAGTCCCTCTCACAGACACTGCAAGTGTAGAAAGGAGAATCTCTTCGACGTTCGACGCAGTATAAAACTATAACTGGCCAACTGTTTCTCGCTCGCGTTACAAAAAACAAAAGGAAAAGAGAGAAGTGAAAGAAGACTCGCGTCCCGCGACCGATTCGGAAACACTCGACTGGGAAACACGAGAGGACCGGAGCTCGGAGTGATTCCTCGACGATTATGTACATAAGCCTTGTACACCGGTGTGTCTCGATGGAAACCGTTTCGACGTAGCACGCGTCGGTACAACGTTAACTCTATTTTAGGAAATAAAATCAGTTGGACTCTCGACTCAAGTACAATTCTTTCCTTTTCGTATTGTAATAACACCGACGCGCACGCGATAAGATAATCCTGCGTAAACGCACGTGTATAAAATGAATGAGTTAGTTCCGCTTAGTTCACGCTCTGTGTGTATGTATATCCGCGAATGTACGTGTCGCGTAGTGTACAAAAAAAAAGAAAGTAGTGTGCAATACGCTGCACACTCGAGTCTAGGAAATCGCGGGACGGCACTCGAAGGCTATACAGTTTACCAGAGTAAAGACATCGAACCTGTTAAAAAAGTCTACGAGATAATACTGTATCCAGGAGGACGACGCGATCGGCCACCGTGAAGAACTCGAAAACGACGAATTGCAATCAGATTGTGTATCCCCGGTTCGGGGATATCCATAGAAAAAGAAGACTATTTGTTTAAAAGATTAAAAGCTACAGTTTATAAGTAATCGGACCTAACACAGTTCCCTGTGCGACAATCAAAGGTCAGTCGACATGCGGTTCATGTAGCTCTCGCGGGCGATTTCTTTCAATGCCTCCGCCATCGCCGGACCAGTCTCGCCGACCATACTCTTTAAGAACCCAGTGCTCTTCTGCAGTAATACGTGAGGGGCGTCGAATTCCTGCAACAATACAGTGTCAAGATATTTTAAGCTGCTCGTCAATTACGAAATCGATAATGCTAAAAATATACTAGAGCTCTTGTATAAACGGAACGAAAGATCCTTGATTATCGATATCTTGAAAGTGTGGTCATCATCGTAATTCTTTTACGCTTGATTCCGATCGATCGATAATTATCAACATGGTTTTGAGAACTCCAAAGTGATTCACCCGATAATTCAGTGAATAAAGAGCTCACCACTGCACAGCCGGCGTCCATCACCAAGATGCGATCGCTGTCCATGACGGTGTTAAGTCTGTGGGCGATAGTCAGCACCGTGCACTTCGCGAACTTCTTGCGGATGGTGATTTGAATGAGTTCGTCGGTGCGCGGGTCCACGTTCGCCGTGGCTTCGTCGAGCACGAGGATCGGATTGTTCTTGACGATGGCCCGAGCCAGGCACACGAGCTGACGTTGGCCCACGCTGAGATTAGAGCCGCCCTCGTTGATGTGCGCTTCCAAGCCCATTTCCTTCAGCTCGACTTCCTCCAACGCCAGCCAGAGCACGTCGTCGCTGTAGTCCTCGAAGGGATCCAAGTTCCTGCGCAGCGAGCCCGAGAACAGGAACGGCTCTTGGGGTATAATACTGATCTCGCGGCGCAGATCGTGGAGGCCTATCTCGTTGGTCTTCACGTCGTCGATCTCGATCACGCCCTCGAGGTTAGTCAAGCGGAACAACGCCGAGATCAACGAGGACTTTCCGGCTCCGGTTCTACCGACGATCCCGATCTTTTCTCGCGGGTAGATCGTGAAGTTCAGACCCTTCAACACTGGTGCCTCCGCGGGGTCGTATCGCAGTGACAGATTCTTGAACTCGATCCTACCCTCCTCGGGCCACGTTTCCTTAGGCTTCTTGTCTGGCGTGCTCTCCAGCGGTGGCTCGCTCTCTATTTTACTGAAAGTTGATTCATAGCATGATCAATATTTATTCATTCATACCAACGTGTATTTAATGACTGTAGTAGTAAGCTATCCTGAATAATCTAGATTACATAAGAGAAATTAGAGGCGCTACCTGTACTCCAACACTCGCTCAACGGATGTCATCTGATTCTCCAGCTCGGTACTCTGCCGCATACCCCACTGGAACATGCCAGTCAACCCGATACTCTGCGTTATAGCCAAGCCCACGTTGCCGCCAAGAGTCTCGCCGAGAGTTTTGTCTAATATCAGGAAGCTATATGTAACCAAAATGATGTAAATAACACAGAAGAGGTCGAGCCAGAATCCGAAGGCTCTCGAGGTCGCTATAAAGATGAACCACGCGGACGAATGCAAATCCTGATGATGATCGAACTCCCTCGTCAGGATTTCACCCGCTTCGAATGCACGAATCGTCGGCAATCCTTGCATTGTCGCGTTTAGATGTCCAAACACCGGCGATCGAGCTGCCGATAAACAAGCCGGGTGTTAGTCCGCGCTGTAAGCGAAGAGTTTTGTCTAGCGCATAGTCCTAGGACGTAGCAAGTACTCACTGACTCCTTCGAGACGCTTCACGCTGCGACTGGTCGACAAGTAGAACACACGAAGATAATAGAAGATAATTCCTATCACCGCTGTAGGTATCAATAGCCAAACGTTAGCCATAGCTACCACCACTATAATCCCGAGGAGAGTGAGGCCGATTTGTATACAGTCGATTAAAGCGAGAGGCAGCAGCTCGTCTATAGCACCCATGTCTTTCGAGAATCGGTTAAGTACACGGCCTGAATTGTTCGTATTGAAAAAACGCATGGTCGCGCGACTGATACATCGGAACATCTGATCATGCAACTTGACAGATGCTTTCATGCATGTCGTGAAAAACGTGAACGAACGTACCAGCGTGACGACTACCGTTAAGACGGTCAAAGCGCTGTACACGTATATGGAGATATCGCGAGTATTAGAATAATCCTTGTCCATTACCGTCGTGCCATTCTCTGTCACCTTTAAAAAAAATTGATAAAAATCATTGTCCATTGATACAATCAATTTCAAAGAACCGGAAGATTAAATCAGTTTATCGACGCCTCGCAATAATAACATTTTAATTAACGAACGTTTACGTATTTGTCTTCCATATTGACCCACTGTGAGATGAAGTAATCACCACCGCTCGCAGCTAGCTGCGCCAGCACGCATAAAAATAGCACCATAAATATGATACACCAGTTTCCACCTGCCTTGAAATATCCTGAGTAAACCTGGCCGGATACCTTGCCCTTTGTTCGCGTTTCGGCCACCTGTGTTCGTCGTAAAACATTGTGTTTTAATAATAGAACCAAGTAACTTAGGCAGTTTGTAATCTCAGTAATTGAGTTATGTGGTTAACTCTGGTGTTTCTACAGAATCAGTCAATTACCTCTATCGGATCCAATTCCTCCTTCTCGTCACTGACATATGACTTCAACGAAGTGATACTCGCGTTCCTCGAGTTGCTTCTGCTCGGAGGAGCGGACGGTGCTCGTTCCCCTTCCTCGGCTTCTTGATTTGACGCCAACCTCCCGAAATCTACTCCCATTTTAGTAAGTTCATCGTAAGTACTGCGAAGAGACAAACGGTGACAGCATATGCAGAAATGATCAACCAATGAAAAATCAAGAAATAATAAAAACTTACCCTTCCGCATATATTTCTCCGTCCTTCAGCACGATTACCTTGTCGACGTTCTGTAAATACTGTAACTGATGCGTGACGAGTATTCTCGTCTTGCCTCTTAAGTGTTTGTCGATACATTCGTCGAACATGTGTTTGCCCACGTGGGCATCGACGGCGCTCAACGGATCATCGAATAAGTACAGATCAGCTTCAGCGTACACCGCTCTGGCCAAGTTAATTCTGTAGAGACGAAATCAATAGATAAGCTGTCGCCGTTCACCGTACGCTTTGTACATATGAGTTAACACTGTAATTACCTGGCGCGCTGTCCGCCCGATAAACTGATGCCCCTTTCGCCAACGATCGTTTTATCACCGTAAGGCAACAAACTGAAGTCTCTCTTTAACTGACAGACCTTGATGACACGATCGTATTGGAACTGATCCATCGGCTTACCGAACAGGATATTCTGTCTAACCGAGCCGGCAAATAACCACGGTTCTTGACTGGCGTACGCTATCTTGCCGTTTATCTGGAAAACAGATAAGATTTTGTAAAGTGAAATTATTTATTACATGTAAAGTGTAAAGAGGCTAAACAACATTGTCCCGAGATGAGTTTAAATACCGTCAGAAACTTTAACGACGAATTAGATATTTTATTTTCAATATGGATACGCACTTGCACAGAACCGTTGTACACGGGTAACTCCTTTAATATAACATTAAGTAAACTGCTTTTGCCAGCACCGACTTGGCCAACGATAGCGAGCAACTCGCCCCCCTTCAAATTGATGTTGATATTCTTCAACGTATCTTCGCTATCGTTGCTTATCCACTTGGCGCTAATATTCTTTAAAGACATGCAGTAATCTTCTTGGTTATTGTCTGCATTGTTCCCATCGTTTCTCGTGTCGTTACTTTCTCTGCTTATACCATTGATGTCCGTCTTGGTTTTCTCCGAGTCCCCTTGCTCGCTTTTCTTCATTTTATTGCGGGGCTCGATCTCCTCGTACATCATAAAATTCTCCAGGCGTTTTATAGAAACCATCCCCTCCGCTATCTGTGTTATTCCTGGGTAATAAAAGGGCAAGTCAAATGAAAACTAACATTTTTATAGGAATTCTCATGAGGTGAAGCTCGAATATTAGAATTGACTAGAAATTGCGAAATTGTACTAATTAACACAGTCATCTTAAAATACATACCTTGTGGGAAGAAGACGGTCATCGTCTGACGTAAAATATTATAGTATGCCGTCAACATGAACACTTTCTCGGCAGTTATTTTGTGATCGTATAATATATAAGCTAATATAGTAATAAACAATGCTATTCTAGTACTGAACATAATGAAAGACATGGTGACACCTCTAATTAATGATGTGGCTCGGATAACGTTGATTTCTTTTCTGTAATCATGGAAAAAAACGGTAGATAATAAAGTATTTTTCGGAAGATTAGTCATGTGCAAAATTACCTTCTTGCTCTTTCAACTAGAGCACTGAAAGGCTTCTCCCAGGTGTACATCTTAATTGCCTGAATACCGCTAATAATCTCATTTGTTAATCGAACCCTTTCATCTGTCCTGATAGCAGTTTTTAATCTCAAGATAGAGGTCTTTTTACCCAAATACCCTACATATGTTAGAAATTGCAATGTGAACTAAGGTGTGTCAACATGATGGTAATAAGAAGTAACTGAAGTGTTTACCTTGCAAGGGTACAAACATCAGAAGCAGTGCGACTCCGATAAAAGCGGATTCTTGAACTTCTGTATACATGAAGTACATAATGATAATGGTCTCGAGCGGTCCAATCCATAAATAGTGTAAAAATATAATCGCTATATCAAATCTATTCACATCGTTGGACAATAGATTTACCGCTTGACCCACTGTTGTTTCGCCCAATGCAGTCCTAGAAAGCTTTAACGCTTTCCTGTATATCAAGGAACAACAGGCCACACGCATTTTCATTCCCATGTGAAGTATGGCCATCATGTATGGATGAATAACGAATATTAACAATCCTGAACATAATACCACGCCAGTAGCGTACAAATAGGCTTCAGTTTTTGTTATGTCTCTGTCACTATAATATTTCAATAGTTTACCAAGAAATATCGGCTGTAATACCCTGTATATGAAATAAAAAGAAATTAGTATGCGAATTTCAATTAATAAATAGTAAAAATGGCATGCCAAAAATTCGGCCAATCTCACTATTACTGATTAAATAAATTCTATGAAACAGACTATCAACTCAGATATACACAACCAAAGACTAATAGTTAAGTTGTTCAAAAATAGGAGGTATAAAAAGATTAGTAGGTACAGGATATTAGGGAGTGTGGGACTTAACGATCTCGTCGCATCTTCATTTTCATGAAATTCAGATGAATTGCTGGTTGTAGGCAATAATTCACTATATATAGGAACATAGCGTTTAAGTTTTGCCTGTTTGAAGTAACGAATTAGAAGACCAAGAAACGTGGGCTGTGACAATCTGAACAAGTAATAGAAACATTTTTAGTATCTATATACTTGAAGATTATAAAGCTGTTTCTAATAATCTGTTTATTCAAACGTTATACCTAGATTCCCATCAGTATATTTACCTAAGTGAAATTTCAAAAACAGCTAGAATTAGTCCATATCCCATTAGCTTAAGACCAAAACACTTGATAAGGACTTTTGTCAAACTAGGTTTTTTGACATTCTTCACATCATACTTGTTATTATTTTTTGCTTCACTAAGCAGCTTGCGTTTTTCATATGCCTCAAGTTCTTTTTCCCAAGCTTTTGAAATCTTTGTACCTAAATTACTACTTTTATGTTCTTTAAGAGGTTTGTATAAATCTTCTACTTCTAAGTCCTTACGATAACCTATCCAAAAGGTACGTAGAATCCATCTGTTAATAAAAAATGAAAAAGAAAATTATTCCATAAATATTTTAATTATGTATAAATTAATTTTAAGTAACTTGTTTTTATTCTCTATTCTCATTACATCAAAAACTGCACTGAATATCTGTATTCAGTAAACTTATCTTTGTTTTTGAGTATATAATATCAATGGTAATTGATTAAAGAGAACATATAAGTCTTATTAAAAAGTTGTCCATAAGAATACTACTAGATAGCAGTAAACAGATAGATCATTTATTTGCTTGGTAAAGGAATTTAAGATAGTTCTGCTTTTATTTACACAAGGTTTATTTGTATCTGATATGAAGGTACTTTTAGAGCACTGTTCATTTATTACCTTGATTCTATGTTTCTTTAGTAGACAATGACACAGAAAAAATGCTGAATCGTAATATTTTTATAACTTACGCAAATGTTAATGTACTGAGAGGATTTGCGCCTTCCCGAGGGTTCTTCTTCTTCTCTGCCTTCACTTTCCCATCCATGATAGTTTCATTTATTTATTTGTTTTTCCTGTAAAATTTTATACATCATATACTGTGATGTAATACAATCATGAAATACTTTGAATTGGAATCAAGAAAAATGTACAGCCAAATTAATCCTTTTTCTCTATATGATTTAGTAATAGCAATAAATATAAAGAGATGGGGTGGCAAACATTAAAAAGTATCCTTCTTACAAATTTTATATTTATTGGTATTTAACATGTTACAGATCTACAATTTATACATATAAAACAGCCAACTACAATAGTAGTATATATAGGTGCAGTTCAAATTATCACTTGGAGTAATATGTTTACATACATATTTGAAACTATGTAGCAATTATAGAAGAAAACTTTACTTATCTTTATTTTATAAATCTTAATTCATAAAGTACATAAAAACGCACTCACTCGAAAGGAGATTTCACTCATTCTGATAAATAATGTACATAATGATAAAGTACTCCAGT